TGGTGGGCCTGATGGATAGAGCTTCATCAGAGCTAAACAAAATAAAAAAATCTGAAGCTCCTATGTTGAACAGTTTCTGAGTTATAAGCATTTTTGCATGTCCAGACACCCCCACTTTGAAAGGAGCCCCCTGTATGGAGCTAAATTGGGGTCATAGGGATTGTTCAAAAAGGAGATTTGAAACTGAAAAACAATTTTGAAACTGAAAATAATTTTGAAACTGAAAATATATATATATTATCCTCTGATTAATATTCTCCTTACCAGAGTTCGGAAGAACAAATCTCTCTCTGCAGATTTATTATGGTGGTAGATCAGTTCAGTTTTATTTGTTCCATTTAATAAAAGTGAAAAACAAAAAGAAGCATTTGTGTTCTCTACATTTTATTTATTTTTTTGTCCAACACATTCTGAGCAGCATAAATATCTTACAGAGTGAGAACATCAGGTCGGTTATTTACAAGATGAAACAAATGACACACAACTCATATCGCCTGCTTGTGTTCAGAGCACTGGAGGAGGAAGAGGAGGGAGAGGAAACTACTATCAGGACTGCGCTTACAGACAGAAAGAAAAACCTAAAGAGAGCTGCTGATGTTCTGTGGTACTATGGCAGACTGAACAGAAGAAGCTTGATTCACAAAGGTCAAAGGTCACCCAATACATAAACAGGAAACAGATGCATCCAGAAGCTTCCTGTAACTGTTAAAACCCCAAAGGAGGGAAAACGATTCCTTTAGACTGAACTGTGTGGACAGGAGGAGGATCAGTATGACTGACCCTCGGATGATAAAAAACACTTCAGACAGGTTTCACTTTGACATCTGAACCTGAACTATAAACTGCTTTGGTTCATTTCTGATAGTCCCAGTGGAAATGATCTCACAGTGACCTGCACCTGTCAGACTCATCGTTTAACAGAGCCGTTCAGGTAAACAGATTCATCTGTTTTACAATCTGAAGACTCCGAGCTGAACCTGAAAGGTTTTCTGGTGTCGGATGAGCCAAACACTGATAATGTAACCAGGTGTTCAACACTTTAGCCTGAAGCAGGAAGAGAAAGAAGCCAGAGGGCTKTTGGGAGGAAACTGAATCTTTTCTGGGTCAACTAGCCTCTGAGTACCAACATTAAATCAGTGTTTGTGTCAGGAAGAGAAGAACTGAGACACAGTCCAGCTCCATGCTTTTAAATGGATCCCCGATTAGTTGTAACGTTAGACTTTATTTGATAAA